ACCCTATAGCAAAAATCTCTCTAACAACAACCACAACAAAATAGAATTGTGGATATCGAGTTCTAATTTTCTGAATGACACTTGTGAGCTCTCTTGCAGATTGGCACAGAAGCATCCCCATTTCAGCACAAGGCAATCATCACCTTGCACGGGCATCTGCGATCTCCTGAGCTCCCTGTGTATGGGGCCAAAACACTGGCTGTGCGAGAGGGACTCCTGGATCTGCACGGTACGGTGGCCAATGGCTCAGGTTTGAGAGTCTCCAGGAATCCAGGCATAATTCGGATAACCCTTTCTGAGTGAAAACTGGCCATGTTTCTTATGTCTGTGAAAATAATCTCTTTTCTCTTCTTTACCTCTTCCCTCCCCTTATCCAGGCCAGTCCAGGCTCCTTTCCTCTGTCAAGGCTCAGAACCAAGGTTACTCTGGGAAGCAATTCTGGTCTTCTCTATACCCTTCCTCTCACCTCTTTCCATGTACTTCTGAACGCTTTTTGTCTTATCTGAACTTAGCACAGTACGTAGTGACTTTACTAATTCATTAATCTATATAAAAAAGCACCACATTTGGAAATACAAAATTGTTAATTTCTTACATTTGTATCTGAAAATGGGTTCTTTCTAAAATTTGACAATAACTTCACAGTTGTACTTTTTAAAAATCTATATCCTGGAAAATTGTCAACAAGTGAAAATGATCTAGATCATATTTGAGGTACCAGGGTAACATATTCTAAAGCAGCATGGTGTGAATTTTTTGTACTGAGTTTACATTGCAATACTCTATCTCTTTTTAAAATCTAGAATACTGTAAACTTGATACCCTATATCATAAATGCTGTGTTATCTTAGATAGATATATACCACTGCAATTTCTTCAAGGTTTGCATATTCTTTTCCTTCTAGATTATAAACTAGCAATTTCTCTCAGTGATGACAAAGATAATAGACTTCTGCCCATTTTGTCAATATTAACACACCCCATTTATATTTTGTCTCTGTAAAGAAGATAATCATGGTATATATCACTATAGAAGAATGTTTTTGAATTTTATGGAATCATACATTTTATTACAAACCTTATTGTTTCTTTTCTAAACCAAACATTCTATATATTTCTTGAGACTGGCATAAAATACTATGGTAAAATGAACCTTTCCAAAAGTCATTTAATCCAGGAAAATATTGAAATGCATGAAGTTCTCAAAAGTCAAGAAAACACATCTGAAGAAATATTCAATGTGCATGTTGATTGCAGGTCTGCCTGTTCCTGTGGTCTGGACTCATCTGGCTCATACTGCAAAGGCAGGAGAAAGGACTTTGATTTTACAAGAAGCAGTAACATGGAAAGCAGGAGACAGCATTGTAATTGCAAGCACAGGGCACAGGTATGACGAATGATGTCTTTTAGGCTTAATGATCCTGATTTACAACAGAGTTTGGTTGTTTGGTTTTTTTTTTTTTGGCTGTAGGGTGTGTACATTTGCCAGGAAGAGGCAAAGGGGGGAAGGAGAGAGAAAGCACCCTCCCAAGGAGGGATGACCATGCCAAAGTTCCTTTGCCTCCATTCTGCTCTCAGGATTTTGGATATGCACACATATACAACCAGTGTGGTTTTTTTTGTTTGTTTGTTTTTTGTTTTTGTTTTTGTTTTTTGGAGAGGTTTTTGCTACAGGGCGTGTGCACTCACCAGAGGGACAGAGAGACAGAGAGACATAAAGCAAGAAATCACTCCCTAAGGGAGATGGCCATGCCACAATCCCTTCTCCTCTATTCTCCTCTTGGGATCTTGGGCATGCATGCACATACACCCAGAGTAAGTTTAAGCCACCAGGTCCAGGACTTGAACCACAGTCGACTACATGGGAGTTCATGATATAGCCATTACGCTAACTGCTGGTCCCAACCAGTGCGCTTTTAACCTATTAAGTACAGGACTCGAACTGCACAGTCAGTCGTGTGGGATCGTCACTTTATCTACCATACTATTTGGTTGGTCTTAGAACAGAAATTTTTAAAATGTATGAAAGAGGGATAATTCAATAGTCTATAACTATTTCATTTAAATTTAAAACTTGTAATAAAGATGGTGTCAGACAGTGGCAAAGTGATAAAATGCAATACGTAGCAAGGCATTTCGATGTAGAAAGGTTTCCAGTTCAAGTCTAGAGACCTCTCTAAATGTGCCTAACACACAATGCTCATGATCCAGAACTGACTGAAGTCTGGGGTGGATCATGGCATCAGGTCCCTGTTATGGGTTCTCTCTCTCTCTCTCTCTGTCATTCATGAAATAACTAAGTAAATATACTTAGGAAAAATCTAGAACTATTGTAGAATGTACACAACGTAATGTAATGTTCAGTACTGAAAAAGATGACTATGTCTGTTTCCTTCATTTGATGTTTATGTGCTGTGTGCATATTTTAAAAACCCTTATTGTGAAATGAAAGGAATCAAGGACAAAAATAGAGAGGAAAGACATTTAAGGGACACAGAAATGAATGATTGTCTGTTGATGATGTGTATGATAGAAGTGTATTGATGTGTATTTGGGTAAGTTCAAGCTGTAGTGATGTATAGTGATTGTATAAAATAAATTAAAATAGTTTTAAAAACCCTTATTTTACCCCACAAAGGTGTGCAATTACTATAGTAAACCAGTCACTACTGAAAGAAAGAAAGAAAGAAAGAAAGAAAGAAAGAAAGAAAGAGAAAAAAAGAAAGCAAGCAAGCAGGCAAACAGGCATATCGGTATTTGTCAGATCATAACATTTGGCTGATCACTAACCAAATGTTGGTGTTATCATCAATTAAATTTACAATAAGAATAGATTTGTATAAATTTGAATCTATAAAATAAATATGTCCTAGTAAAATATTCTGTTTTACATAGTTAAGCTTATTTGTAAGTTTTAATTTGAAGAAAGCATTATACTATTAAAAGTCATTAGAAAACATCTGACTTAGAGCTTTAACAAAATACATTAATGAATGCAAAAATGTAAATGAGCTTCTTTGTTTGAGGTCACCCAAGAACTTGGTTGAAAGCAGCCAGTGAATTCTTTTTATAGTCTTGGCAGTGGTTCCCGCTAAGCAAAATTGTTAGCTATTAGGAAACAAAAGGAAAGAAATTGTTATAGAAAAAGTGATGATTAACATAACCTTTTAGGTACCTGACATTTTAAAACTGAAACTGCTTATGAGTCTTAATTTCTGTTTAATTATGTATGTTAGCAAATAAGAAATTAAGGGAAGAAAATTAATAAGCAACAGCAAGTATATCAGGGATAAGGACAAATAAGAGCCGTATTTTTGCTTTATGCTCAAATTATAAGTATGTAAAATTAGATCTGGTTGTGTTTACCAAATAATAAACAAATAGTAATTTATGACAAGAAACAGCTGAATTATGTTAAGGCCATAACTCAATTTAAAACTAAAATTCAAGATGGCATTTTGAGTTTGCCATTTTCCAAGTTAAAAATAGACCTGCAGATGTTAGGAAGAGTTAAATATATACTTAGCTTTATAAGTGCCCATTTTTATTTTCCTGCCATTGGAAGAAATTTTAATTATACAATGCCCAAAATAAAAAGCAGGAAAATGACAGGACTTACTAATAAAATAGAAAATCTTCATTTGCAGCTTTTCTGTATGAAATAAAAAAGTTTAGAATTTAGCGTTGGGTTATTCAATTTAGTTTTGTTTTGCTTTCATTTGCCACAGTGTGTGTCTACTCGCTGGAGAGGGACAGAAAGAGAGACAGAGAAGGAAAATGAGAAAGCACTCCCTAGCGGGAATGCTCACGCCACAGTCCCTTCACCTCCATCTCTTCTTCCCCTTGGTATTCTGGGCACATGCACAAAGTCGGTGTGTGTTTCTCAAGCCTCTGGGTCAGGGACTTGAACTGCGCAGTCATCCATGTAGGACCCAGTCATCCCAATCACGGTGTCACTGGCTGACCTGGACTATTTAGTTTTAAGAAATAAGAAATAAGGAGTTTCCCACCAGATCTCACTATTTCATTGGTAAATCCTAGTTGAGAGAGAGTTGGTAAAGCTGGTGGTTAAGAAAATGACCCCTAAAGTCAGTCAACCTGCGACAACTCCAAGCAATACCATTGATCAGCCATACACCATAGTATTTCACCTCTGTACTTCAGTCGAACTGGAATGCTGTTATTATTCATCTCATGGAATTATTGTAAGGATTAAATGAGTCATTATGAGTAAAACACTTAGAGCAGAACTTGACTCAAAGGGAGTGCTGTGCGAGGTGTTAGCTGTTAATACAGAGGAAAGGTGTGTGTAGAAGTGCATGACATAAAAAAATGCTTTTTACAACCTTCTTTTTAAAGAAATCACTGTATTATCGGAATCCAAAGGAATTCAAGAGAGGCCAGCCTTTCCATATTACCTGTGAAATATTGTACTGTTGATTCACCCTTATCTGTAAGCATCCTTAATCTTCACTGCTCCGTACCCCTCCAACACAATTCTTTCTCTGGATTTTTTGGAATTACATATTTTCCCATCACCTATCATCTTGATAAACAACTTTGCTCTCCTGTTTCTTCTAGCTTCTGTTTTTACCTCTAGGTTTTCTTCACAGGGTGTGCGTGCTCTCCAGAGAGAGAGAAAGTGAGAAAACCCCCAGAGGGATGGATGGCCATGCCACAATCCCCTCTCCTCCATTCTTTTCTCAGAATTATGGGCATGCGCGCATGCATGCCTGGCATGATTTGCAAGGCTCTAGGTCTGGAAAGCAAAATGTGGTTGGGAGTCCAGCATCTTAACCCCTATGCCACCTGCTGGCCTCTAGCTTTTTGTCTTTTTTCTTTTTTGTTAATCTTTTATTTTAAAAATATATTTGACTGCTTAAAATTAGTTAACTGCTTAAAATTTATGTCTCCATTTCTCCTATTTTCTTCTTATGATCCATAGCTTTTGTCTTTTTTTGGAGAGATTTTTGCTGTAGGGTGGATGTGCTCACCAGAGAGACAGAAAGAGACAGAAAACAAGAAATAACCCCCCCTGGGGGGAAGGGCCATAATACAATTCCTTCCCTTCCATTCTCTTCCTAGGATCTTGGGCATGCATGCACATGCACCTGACTTGAATTTGAAGCCACTGGGTCCAGGATTCGAACCATGGTCAACCATGTGCGAGTCCAGTGCTGTAACTGCTATGCTATCTGCTGGCCCCCATGGTGTTTTCCTTAAACCTGGTCTAATTTTTCTCTTCACAAAAACTTCCCCAGTGACCCTCCAATTTTTACCATCATTCTTCACTTCCTGCCCATCACCAAGTTTTATTTTTGGTTCTGCCCTTGAAATATCTCTTCCACCAATTTCTCCTGCTCTCAGTTTAATTTAAAGTCTCAGTTCCTCACACTTGAATATGACATCATGTTCCCATTTGGCTCCGTTCTCCTTCTCCATACGAATTCATTCTGCATTAACTTGTTCAAATGATCAAGAATTGTTACTGAGTTGTGACAAGGACTATACTAGGTTCCCAATATTTGAAATGATGCCACAGGCCCCCTGACTGGAGGAGCAGCCAGGCCAGTTGGAAAGAAAGGAGAAGTAGAAGTAGGTCCTTCCTAGGACTGCAGGGAGGTTGCTCTGAGCACCAACAGGTCATTCTGGGAACTGCATTGGGAATACAGAAGAAGGGCTGAAAAGGTGGAAAGGTCTGACTTCTAACTGTTTCACATGTGGCACTGTCATCTGAACTGGCATTTAAGAGAGAAGAAGGACTGGCCAAGGGAGAGAGTCAAAGATAGTATTGGGATGACACAGAGGTAATTCACCTGAGCTTGTCTCTGTTAACAGCACCCATGCACCTTAGTATTGTAGATAATGCCTGATCAGGATGGGTGCTGTCTCCTTCAAGTCAGGGACACTTTCTGCTTGGTTTCTCCAATACTTAGCTCTGTGTCTAGAAAACAGGCTAGACTATTAATAAATGTTGAATGACAAATTCAGGTTAATGTCTGCTCTATAGAACTGGTGTGTCCGTTTCGTTGTGGCTGGAATTTTGGTTATTTTGGAAGAATGGTAGAATTGAGACTTTATAAACTTCAACTTAGACATTTATTTTCCCTGCTCAGGAGCCTTCAGTGACTTTTCTTGTAAGAATTTCTCAACTTTGGTATGATTAACATTTCGGGCCTGATAACCCCTGTTACATGGAGAGGTCCTGTGTATTACAGAATGTTTAGAAATATCTCTTGTCTCTACCTCTTAAATCACCAGTGGTACCTCCAGTACAATCTCCAGATGTTGCCAAATGTCCCCTCAGGGATAACATTATCCTCACTCGAGAAACACTGAGTATGATCCTCAATGTTATAAATGAATAGTTCTTCTAAGTACTTTTAAGGAGCTAATATAGTTCTAGGAATAAATATGGCACACTAGGAAAATACAAAATTTATTTGACATGCATCTGTAAACTTACTCAGTCAAGTCTAAAAAAAAGAGTAAGATACTGTAAACAAATTCTCCTTCAGAATAGTATGATTATAAATATCTTATTTTACAAATGACATGTTCAAAATGGCATAAAAATGTGCCCAAACCATACATTTTGTCTATTTATATTAATATTGAAACATTTTATTTTTTACAGACACAGTCAAAAAGAGAATGAAAAAAGGATCATCGCGTCTGTATCTGCTGATGGCAAAAATGTAACGCTAACCAAGCCACTGAATTACACACACTTAGGAGTTACTGTCACACTCCCCGATGGAACACTGTTTGACGCAAGGGCAGAAGTTGGAATCCTTACGAGAAATATTTTAATAAGAGGATCTGATAATGTGGAGTGGAATAACAAAATTCCAGCATGTCCTGACGGATTCGACACAGGTAGATTTATCAGCTGTTGTGTGACTGGTACCATCATGCTGCACATTTTCAAAACTTAATTGGTTTTGAAACTTAATCACTTATGTTTCAACTTGCCTATCTGTGCTGTAAATATCACTAAATGTGGGAATTTAGAAATACTGGTGGCATTTTTAAGTTGCATTGTGAAAGTATTTGCAATTTCTTGAAGAAAAATGGTCAATGTTGACACTGTAAGGGAAGAAATAAGTGCACTTGGATTCTGTTCACAAGTCTCTTTCCACATTTATTATTTCTTATGACAATTTTAGATTAGACCTTGATGTATTACATATTGTCATCAAGAAGCTGCATCATTTAGATTTACCTCCCCCCCCAATGTAGAAACCTATATTTGATGATGACGATGTCAAGATTTTGTTTAGTAGATCTCTGATTCATCAATACATTTTCTGTGTGCTAGAATCTGCAGTCAATCAGCACACTGTAAGTGGGAGTAGATTCACTGTAGGTATTCTGACTAGACAAAATTCCTAGACAGATGGATAGGTGGAATGATAAGGAGACAGGTATATAGATTTGAACCCTTCGTAGTAGCCTCGGTCCGAGTTTGTCAGTCTCAGCGCTATTGACATATTGGTCCAGATCACTGTTGCCGTGGACCATTGTTCTGTGCATTGTTGGCTGTTCAGCAGCATACCTGGCCTCTACCAACTAAATTCTTGTAATATCCTCTGCATCTGCGCCGACCAAAAATATTTCCAGACATTGCAAAAATGTTGCCTGGATGCAAAGTTACCCCTGGTTAAGAACCACTGCCCTAAGTTATGCTCTCCTAATGAATACCCCCAGAATCTCTGTGACTTGAAGTCCTAACAGTTTATACATCATTCATGGCATATGTGTCCAGTATGGGTTGATGGGGAAAGAGGCCTACTCATTATAGTTATCCAAATCCAGGCTGATAGAAGCTCTGTCTCAGCATGGGCTCCCTTGATATCTGAGACAGAACACGAGATGGCTAAAGGGACAAGCCCCAGTAACTAATCGTTTTAGTCCTGAAGTAACATATCTCTCTTCTACTCAGGTATTATTCATCAAAACTAATTCCATGGGTACACATAGCATTCAGAGTGAGATAGTGAAGCTGCTGCATGCTTAGAAATAGAGAACTGGATATTTGTGAAGCTTGATGATGCTTACCACAGTTCTCACATATCTAGGAGGAAGCACAATGTAGTTCACAAATCTCTTTAAATATTTTATATAATCGCTAATATCCTTGCAGTCTTCTAAGTAGTTAAATAACAGATGCAGCTCTTCAATGGGAAGGCTAAGACAAGCTCATTGGATTTAATGTCAGATAGACTTTATTTCAGTTCATCTGCATCATTTTGCAATACACATGAAACCTAGTTCTACCCTATCTAAAATAAAATACTTCCAGTTCTGCCTACTTAATATACTTGTAAGATTTATGTGGCATAATGCATATTCTAGTGCTATATAAGGTTGTGTTAATTGTGATAATCCCCAAACCTTAGGAGAAAGCTTTGACAATAATAAAATACCTTATCAGTATTCATGTAATCATTCAAATAACTTATTTAGTATCTTTTTTTGAAGAATACAGTCAGTACTTTAGAGACCATTAAGATATACAGGACAAGATGCTCACCTTTCTTATTATCTAGAAGAGGAGATGATGTGAAAACAAATAATTATGTTCCAAGATGAGACTGAAATTATATGTGAATGAAAACATAGGTATGAAAAAAATCACTTATATAATACAAGGATTGTAACATGGTTTTTCTTTTATGATACTTAAAAATATTTTCACAGGTGAATTTGCTACACAAACTTGTCTCCAGGGAAAGTTTGGAGAAGAAATAGGAAGTGACCAGTTTGGAGGTTGCATTATGTTCCATGCTCCCGTCCCTGGTATTAACATGGTAACTGGAAGGATTGAATATGTAGAGGTAAGAGGCATTATAATTAAATCAATATTAGTAAATAACGTTTTCAAATTATAAGCACTAATAATATGGAAGATATAAATGTACTTTTAATAAGTACTATAAATCAGAGAGTATTTTCAGATAAAATATGAGCCAGGCAAAGTCTGGCTCTACATGAATCACTAAATCCCTGTGTATTTTGGGGTTTACCAGGTGTTCCATGCTGGCCAGGCTTTCCGATTGGGGCGATATCCAATTCATTGGCACCTGCTGGGAGATTTACAGTTTAAATCTTACGTTAGAGGCTGCGCAATTCACCAGACCTATAACAGAGCTGTCACTATCCATAACACACATCACCTTCTGGTGGAGCGAAATATCATATATGATATCAAGGGAGGAGCATTTTTTATAGAAGATGGAATTGAACATGGCAATATTCTGCAATATAACTTGGCGGTATTTGTACAGCAAAGTACTAGTCTTCTGAACGATGACGTGACCCCAGCTGCATTTTGGGTAACCAACCCGAACAATACCATACGACACAATGCAGCTGCTGGTGGCACTCACTTCGGCTTTTGGTATCGAATGAACAACCACCCTGATGGGCCATCCTATAACCGAAATATATGCCAGAAAAGAGTGCCACTGGGAGAATTCTTTAACAACACTGTTCATTCTCAAGGTTGGTTTGGACTGTGGATCTTTGAAGAATATTTTCCCATGCAAACAGGATCATGTACTTCTGTAGTGCCAATGCCTGCAATATTTAACTCACTTACTACTTGGAATTGTCAAAAAGGAGCCGAATGGGTCAATGGAGGGGCCCTTCAGTTCCATAATTTTGTGATGATAAATAATTATGAGGCTGGAATTGAGACCAAGAGGATTCTGGCTCCTTATGTTGGAGGATGGGGTGAGACCAATGGAGCAGTGATTAAAAATGCCAAAATAGTTGGTCATCTTGATGAACTGGGAATGGGATCTGCATTTTGCACCATGAAAGGCCTGGTTCTCCCATTTAGTGAAGGTTTGACTGTATCTTCCGTACACTTTATGAACTTTGACCGGCCCAAATGTGTAGCATTGGGAGTGACATCTATCACTGGCATTTGTAATGAGAGATGTGGAGGTTGGAGTGCAAAATTTGTGGACATCCAGTATTTTCACACACCGAACAAGGCTGGCTTTCGATGGGAACATGAAATGGTACTGATTGACATCGATGGTTCACTTACAGGTAATGTCACTTTAAAATTTATTATAAAATACTTCTATAAAATATTTCTACAAGTTAACATCTTTATAAATTTGTAATGATGAAGACCTCTCTACGTAGGGAAGCAGGGATATGTGTGGAGGGGCACTGAGTAGCACTTTATGAGTTATCCAGTTGCTAAGCAAATCTATAGATATCAATCATTCACTTTTGAAGGACTCCTAGAAAGATGAAAAGATTTCTCTTTATACTCAAATGGACTGAGTTATCAAACACAGTCATTATGTCTGTCTCTTAGTCTAGTCATGGCTTTGATGAGGGAAAACATTTGGATGTTTTTGATAATAAAAGTTTGTGTAACCTTTATTGGTTTACTTAATTTGGCTTAGGTTTTTTGTTTTGTTGTTTTTCCAATTTGCCAGAGGGCGTGTGCACTTGCCAGAGTGAGACAAAGGGAACAAGAGAAAGCCTTCTGATGGGGCATGGTCTCACCACAATTTCTTCACCTCCAATTCTCCTTGCTTTCAGGATTTGGAGCATGCACACACATGCATCTGGCATGTTTCTCAAGGTGCCAAATCTGGGACCTGAACTGTGCCAGGGGGGTCATGTAGGATCCAGCCACCTTTACCACCATACAATGGGCCAGCCCAGTTTAGGTTTTTAATGTGAGTTTATAATCTACCAGTTAGGAATATAGGCTTTGGGGCCAGCAGGTTGGGTAGATGTTAGGGTGCTGGAGTCCCAGACCCAGCAGCTTGAAATGCATGCCTGGTGCAACCGCATGCCCAAAATCCAGAGGAGAATAGAGGAGAAAGGATTATAGTGTGGCCATTCCCCCTGGGGGGGGGTTATTTCTCACTTTCTCTCTCTCTGTCTCTCTGTCAAGTGTGCACCCTGTAGCAAAAATCTCTTGGAAAAGAAAAATACATGATTTTTGGTAAGATTACCTAAATTTTAATTTTGATGTGTGTCCTTACTTATTGTGCTTCCTATTTTTCACTTTGCCCATCATGGGTGCTTCAGATCCATGATTCAGCTATATTCACAATAAGGTCCCTGCAATGAGGTCCACTCCCCTTACAAACAGACAAACAGAAAAATGACCAAAACTTAGGTTGTACTGATGGTATTATGGGTCACAGAACCTATGTATTATAGTAAGTGTTTTTAGTTTGCTAACACGGAATGGAAAACATGCTGTGCATCTGTGTTTTCAGGGCACAAAGGACACACTGTCATTCCACACAGCTCCTTGCTAGACCCTTCTCACTGTACTCAGCAGGCTGAGTGGAGCATCGGGTTTCCTGGATCAGTCTGCGACGCCTCAGTCAGCTTCCACCGGTTAGCATTCAACAAGCCTTCCCCAGTATCTCTACTAGAAAAGGATGTGGTTCTTTCAGACTCTTTCGGTAAGTGGAATAAAGTAGCTTAAACCACACACTAAATATGTCATCACCATGAGTTGTCACTTGATGGCTCAAATGTTGCAAAAAGCATTATATTTACATTACTCCAGGTTCAAACAGGAAGCAGGTACACTCAGAAATGGATGTTTGAGGATCACTGAATAAATGCATGGTCTAGCAGGATATTCTGCTGATCTCGGAACCTCCAAACAGTATTATTTCAGAGAGCAGGAAACTGCATAAACTCTGGATCAAGGTGGTATAAATATACCAGGATTCTGGCCATCGATGGCAAATATTTTTAATTATCCTGCTGTTTGTGATGGGTTTGAGAAGAGTATTTGTAGGTCAATAGCTGGATACCAGGTGCCAGAGATTATTGATTTACTGATTGATACAGTAAAGATACTATACCTGGAATACCAGATATGCTTGACATCATTACTTGACTAAGTTAATTTATTGTCATTATTCATAACCCATTTGGCTTTTCCATCAGCCAAGCAAGCAAGGTGAATGAGGATGGGATGGGAATCTTGGTCCACATATCTCTAAGTTTTTGATTGTGGCACTAATCTCTACATTTTTCCTTCCAGGATTTGGAATTGATTTTAGTGTATTACATTGGTAGGGGATGAAGGTCTATAGTTCCTAGAGTGTCCACTTAGTCCTTCCTACCCGATTTTCCATCACTCCATTAGTTGGAACCAATATGTGAATTCACTCAGATATGAAGTGTACCTATTTCCAGTGTACCTGACCTAGCCTACCCTGACTTGCTCAGGTCTACATATCCATGTCTTTATCACTCTACCCATCCAGTTGTTCAGCTACCTAGAAACTACTGGTTAAACTGTCTGTCTACAGTGAATCCATTCACGCACTGTTCTGATGGGCCTGCATATTCTGGAAGGTAGAGGAAGTGTGTGTGTGTGTGTGTGTGTGTGTGTTCTCTTCCATTCTCCTCTAGAGATTTGGGGCATATATGCACACATGCATGGCATGTTTTTTAAGCCTCTGGATCTGGGACTGGAATGGAAAAGTCAGCCATGTGGGATCCAGTCAACATAACCACCCTGCCATCAGCTGGCCCACAAAATCTTTAAATCATCATCAAAGATAGACACAGCTTCTTGATGATAATATACAAAATTGTAAACGTCAAGGTCTAATCTAAACATATAACGTAGAATCATAAGTATGGAGAGTTCAGCAACAGAATCTAAATGCATATAGTTCTCCCCTTACAGTGTTAAGTTTACTATTTTCTCCAAAATGCTGCAAATACTTTCATGTTATTTTAAAACACTATCAAGGTTGCTGCTACCCATATGATTTTTCTTCCTTTAGGTACCAAATGCCACCTCGGTGTGCTGTTTTCTCTACTCCACTTTTAAGAATCCCAAGATCAATCACCACAAGTCCTTCCAGGTCTGCAGGCCAGAACACTGATTATTCCTCCCGCCAGAGTTCTGTGCCTTTTACGCTTGCCTTTACATCTAATAGTTAAGCACTGCCTCTTGCCACTTCCAAGTTCCATTTGTTTCTACTGAGGTCAGGGAAGTCAATAACATTGCGGCATCCTCCACCAGCATCCCTAGCATCTGAAAAACAGATACCACAGAGCTTGTTAGAAGGGTCATAAGAGAAAGATGCTGCTACCATCACTAGCTCTGAAAAGATGAAAGGAAAGAAGAGTTACATGTCCCAGAGACAGAGAGCTGTGGGAAGAAGTTCTATGTATGCCAGGCTAACTGAAAGAGGCTATTCTGGTTGAGAGGTAGAAGAGCCCACCAAGAGCCCCTGACCTACCCCAGTCAGAGTGAGAATAAAGGGAATAAACAATAAACACCTCATTTTCATCTTTCTCTTCCCCTCTCTTTTTTCTTATGCCACCACTTCCATGCCCAACCAGAAGCCAGAAAGCAAGGGAGCAGAAAAGAGCATGGTAGACAGTAGATCTACAGCAGTAACTATGTCGTGCTACTTCGATCATTTTTTTAGAGATATTTTTGCTATAGAGTATGTGTGCTAACTTGTGAGACAGACACAGACAGAAAGTGGAAAATCACCCCCCGGGGGGATGGGCATGCTGCAATCCTTTCTCCTTCGTTTTCCTCTCAAGATTTTGGGCACACATGCACACACACCTAGTGTGAGTTTTAAACTGCCAGGTCCAGGACTCAAACCACAGCTCACTACATGGAAGTCCAGTGACATAACCATTACGCCATCTGCTGGTTCCCCCCCACACACTTCCATCATTTATTATGATGACCTTTGCCCATCAGAAAAGTCACAACACATTTTTGCACAGAGAAACATGTCATGACGTTTCTGATGACCCAGTAAGTTATTAGACTTGATTTTAAAACATTCTTTTATATATAATCAGTTATTTAATTAGGTTCTTGGCAAAAAAATTTAGAACACCAATTTGTGAGGATAAATTCCATTTGTAAGGGCAAACACGGATTGCAGGTAGCCCTGGAGCTGCAGAACAGCTTTGATTTTTGGTAAAATTTGCGAATCCGCAGCCTTCTGATCAATCTTGTGCTACTCTGAAATCTCGTATTTCTCCTTCTCTGTGTTGAAGATCTCGCCTTCCTGGTGTCTGGGCTTCTGCAGTTTCTTTTTCTTGAAGTAAGCATCGGTAAGGTGCTTCAAGATTTTTACTTTGCTAATATCACTTTTCGTGGAAGTGGCAATGACAAATTTCTGGTGTGTCCTACGCAGTGGAACTCAATAGAGAACCAGCGGTCCAGTTATAAGTAGCAAGCCACTGCTCAGCTGCTTCAGGAAAACCACTCTCTTGCCTCTGTGGCATCCAGTGAGGATGATCAGAATGGTCCCAGGAGTGATGCTGGCTTGCAGCTTTCTCACATGCTGACTGAAAGGGTTTTTGCCGTCGCTAAACAGCTTTCGAGGCACATCTTCAGAAGGATAATATCTAGGCATTTTGCGCAGTTTAACCAACCGGTTACCACCATTCTTGTCTCCACCAACTGGTTTTGTGACAGTCACAAGAAACTTCTCCTTCTTTTTCTTTTTGAACCTGGATTTGGTGAATGAGTATTTCCTCTTGTACATGGCCTTCCTCGAATACATGGCAGAGCGGGAGTATCTGCCGATGCCCCGGACTAGGAAGGGATTTTGGCTCCAATGGGGCTTCCCCTTATTGGGCTTTTTAGCCTTGGGATCATCCTTTTTAACCTTCCCACTGGCATCAGCCTTCTTGGCTTCAGGTTTTTTCTCCTTAGTATCCTGCTTTGCAGCTTTTTCGCCTACCATCTTGTATAGTGGGAAAAAGAGCTAAAAAATTCTTATAAGGATTTTCTTCTCCTGTGAATTGAAAGGGTCATACACCTATTCTCTGAATCGAAAGAGTCATATACCTATTACCTGAATTGTAGTTAAACCCACTTTCTCAGTGCCTTAATGATATAAATCCAGAAGCCGTTATTTTTCTTCTGCTAAACAGATGTCCAGAATAAAGCAATGTTATATAAGCTTTTAAAATTAATGTATATAAAGAATATTCTAAGTAGAATGTCTATGTTTTATTCCAAATAAAAACTGTCAGGTTAAAACAAAAGGTAACCAAAACATCAAAAGCAAATTTATTTTATTGGATAAGATAATGTTTTAGTATTTCCCATTTATTGTGTCATAAAATAGTTTCTCATGATAAAACTTTTTGAAGGATTTAATTTGTTTATTCCGAGAGAGAGGAGAGAGAGAAAAAGAGAGAGAGAGAGAAATAGCACCTTCAATAGGGTCTTGACATCACAATCCATCCAGATTGCCAGCTTGGATTATGGGCACACATGCCTGGCATACTCAGGAAGGTCTCCTATGTGAACCTGTAGCCTTCCCATTTGGGTCTCTCTTGCAGAGTGTTGTATTTTACTTCTGCACTGCCATTCAGCCCCTTCTAAAGAAAACTTTTGATAATATTTTCAAATAATGTATGGCATCGTTATGATAGAAGTTATATAATGCAGCTTAAAATACTCTTTTATTGAGAACTCAGAGACGTGCAACCTTCCTAAGTAAATTACTTTAAATATACATAATGACAAACTATGTATGCCTTTATTAACTTTTAAGCAAAGATATTCAAACATCTCAAATTTCTTGGGTTTTGTTTGTTTATTGTTGTTGCTGTTGTAACTGATGGTGCCAGTGTGGTATTTTAGGGAGAAGTTATTATTTCTTTTGACTTGGGGTTTGGCTTTTTTTTTTTTTCCAGGCTTTGATGTATTTTATTGAGGAAAAATTCCAACAAAAGGGGATTTTTTTTTTTACAAAATTTCATGTTTCTGGGGACTTCCCACCCCACTTAGATCCAAGTGAGAGTAACTAGTAAGCCTGTTCATGTATTTTCTTATTTTCAGTTTACATACAAAAGTAATTTTGTTTGCTTTGCATTCATACAAATTCCAATATTATAAATGGCAAATAAATCCTCCCTTACCCAATCCTTAATTAAATATACAGTTTCAAAAACATACACTTTAAATTGGTTTAATCTCGAAGTATAAGTCAGTGAGACTGAAAACTAAATATTTCAGGTCTTGTACCAAATAGTAAAATCCTCTGAGGCCTTCAGGATCCTTTGACTGATTTACATCAATAAAAGAACCAATTTTTGATGTGGTAAACAAAATGTGTTCATCTCCTATTACAATTTCAAGCTCCGGTCGGCCAACCCTGTCAGGGGAGGCCACAAAGCATCATCTTCTTTTGTAATTTCACTGTCATCAATAATTCTCTTCAGTTCTTCCATTACACTCTTGTGTGCATAAGCCTCTTTTCTGGTCATGATGTCATTTATTATCTGCTGTTGTTGGCATATCTAAGCTTTCCGTCCGGCCGAAACTCGAACTCCAGAAACTCGTGTCCAAACTTGCCCTTGTGCTCTACGTCGTAGTGCAGGTAGAAATCGCCAGCCATAGCCATGGTTGCCCCCAGGAAGCCCCTTGGCTTTTTTTTTTTTTTAATTATGACTCTGGTTTATATATAACCAATGTATAACATTGTGGGTTACAGTATGGTTTTTGTAAAGGCATATATACAGTGTATAGTATTGAAATCAAGGATATACACAATAATGACATCAAGAATATACACATATTCATCTTCTTCTAAACATTACATTATGCTGTACACATTTGATAATAGTTCTACTAATTTGTTTTGTTTTGTTGAAATATGTACCGAATTGTCTATATTTTTTAGAATGTGATATAACATCCTGTGGCCTTTTCCTCTTATTTACATGCATTCCTGTGTCTATTCAAATTTTTCTCACAAATCTCCCAATATCCTTGCCAGGCAGTTTCTGGTGTCTCTGATTTTAGGCTTTTTGATGAAAGCAATGTAGCATTCTGAATTTGTGAGATGACAACTTTCTTGTGAAATCTCTTAGTACCCATGGCTCTATTCTCTTCAAGAATTAACATGTATATTTAGTTTCTAAGTTGTGAACACTTAGAGGGCAATATTTATAAACTTATCTGATGGCCACAAAACTCAACACAGAGCATTGCAGATTGTAGACTTGATAGGTATTGAGTTGAGTGGAATTGGTTGCAATCCTCAGACGTGGTTGCAAAGTACAGAAAATAGTATCCAGGCACTTTACTTTTTAATGTGATTTAAAAAAAAAACACAACTTCATAGTAAGGCAAATTTTATTACTTTCATTTTCTCTCCATTAAAATAAAATAAAATAATTTACTACTGAAAAATTAAAAAACAGAGAAAGACCACTTGGATTAATTGTATATGTATATTAAGTGAATAAAAAGTGTAGAAAGTATACTAGATCAATGGGAAATAGGGTTTGGTATAACTTTACATAGATCCTTATATATCTTTATCAAAGCACCTCATGCATGATAATACATCTTTATGTAAATATGTGTAAAGTTAGACCAGATGGCAAATTAATTTGAGACACTCTTGATGAGTCTATTTTTTAAATATCAATTTAAAAAAGCTTATGTAGCAGTCCAAAAATGCTTAAAACCAACATACTCAAAATGAGTACAGCTGAAAGAAATTAAGAAAAACATTGCTAAGAAAGATGAAAATTGGTTTTATTTACCAAACCAAATTATCAAAAAATGTCAGGTTAACATAAATCCCAATTATCAGAAAACTTGAGTGGCATTCTGCCAGATAAAGGAACAAATTCTAGAGTTTTTAGATTATTTTAATGAGCTCTTACATTCGTTAGCTATTGCTTTACAACAGACTATTCTAAAACTCAAAAAGTTTAAATCTATATTTATTTTCCTTCACATATCTGAGGGCTGGGTTGGCTGAAGTAGGTTGGGCTCAGCTGGGCTGTTCTGCTTCTCGGTGAAGAGTCAGTGGCATTGTTCCTCACCAGTGGCTGAACTCAAGTTGGCCCATGTGTGCTCCTTCTGGGCTCAGGTAAAGGGAGTGCCCTTGGAAGAAGTTCTTCATATTGCTATGGCAGAGGTTCTAAAGGTCTAGCCTCACTGAACAATCACTTTTTAAGCTTTTGCTAGTATCAATTCTGCTACTGTCCTACTAGCCAAAAGTTACCCAATGTTAACAGAGCAAGGAAGTCTACTTTGTCTTCAAGGATTGGAGAGGAGTAGGTATTTGCTGAGTAATAATTCAAACTAGGGATCAGTTTGCAGTGCAGTAGTAATGCAATTGGAACCATGTGGAAAAGGTCTGAGGTTCATGTCCCAGGATCACCCTAAGTACAATGGATGTGTGCATGCCTGTGATCTGGACTGGTGAAAAATATGAGTGGATTGTAGCATGAGGATCCTCTAGGGAGTGGGGTGTGTGTGTATGTCTACCTATCTGTCTCTGTCCATCTCGCTCACTCTTCCTCCACGTCTTTCTCTTTTTCTTTCTTTGTGTGTCTCTCATGGAAGTAATAAAAGGACAAACTAAAAAAAAAATACAACTATCAAAGTTCTTGTAATTTTTTTCAGTGTTTAGATACTACAAGTTTTTAGTGCCTCAGCTCATGTCTCTTTAAAGCTAAACTAATTTATAAAGACTAAGAATGAATGAATTTGTTCCCTGTATATTGGAATGTTTTGCCTTATTCTCAAAAGATAATGAATGACAGTTCATGTTATAATTGTGCTTCTAGCTTCTTCCTCAGACATGTTCAAAAGGGTACAGGTTGCCAGTTTAACATGAAAATCTGTATAATTTCTCATTTACATTTAATTGTTCATCTTTCTGAGGTACAATATGGTTTTTCAAAGCGTATGTGATAATCAAATCAAGGATATCACCATATCACCATATGCATCATCTTCAACAAAGAACATTACATTATGTTGTGCATCTTCTATTTTAATTCTCGTTTTTATTTTTATTTTCTTCAGATATAGTTTGAAATGAGAAGAGAGTGAAGGGAAAGAAAAAAATAGGAGCAATTAATGAAAGACTTTTTTCTTTTTAAGTGATCTTTTCATGTCTTCTACCTAAGTTGTCAGGCATTCTCTCATGACCAAAGCATTACTAAATTATATAATTTTTCCCATGATAGGTAGTTCATGTTCAAATTTGTTATTCACAAATTTAATTATCAGTCATAGCCTCTTTCCTTAAAAATTCTAAGTCAAAATTCCACTAAAGTCAAATAAAACTATTTACTACTAAAAATCAGTATTTATTATACAGATTTTCATTAGTTCAACAGATAAAGGAGACTCTAATAAAGAATCATAACTTATTTTTGCCTATATTGTAACTTAAGAATTCAGAAGAATTAAGTTCTTAAAACGAAGTAGAAGTATATTTAGATAAATAATATTTAAAGAATTGTATTAATATATATAAACTCCTATGTTTTAGTAGTTATAATCATGTCTAATTGTATTTTTCCTTAAGAAATAAAGATTTCATTTCTGTTTAAAATTCTAATTTAGAAAAAACATTTTACATTCCAGTTAAACGTAACAACAAACATTTGATGCCCTCAGTTAAACTAAGACATTTAACATACACAGTGAAATGCTATACTGAATTTTTCAGAGACTTTCATGTACTAGACCAATATTTTTCCTTTGCACTGGTTCCTAAACAAAGGAGGCATTTTCTAGAAGCAGAGATGATCATGATGTGGTTGGTTTTTTTTTTTTTTTGAAAGTGGTTGATTATTTAATAAATTTTGTGATCAAATCTGGTTGTTTCATCTTCTCCTACAGGCACAAGCATTATTCCTTTTCAGAAGAAACGACTCACTCATACGTCTGGATGGATGGCTTTGATTCCAAATGCGAAACACATTAACTGGTATTTTAAAGATGTGGATCACATAACTAACATATCCTATTCATCAACATTCTATGGATTTAAGGTAAACAAAGAGCTATTAAATCCACCCTCCAGTAGTTATGAGTGCTTATTGCACCAACACAGCCTATGCTCTGTGCTTACTCACACCCACTGTTAGGCCCGACTGCCCTGGCCCCACACAGTACCCTAAAAGTCCTGCACGCTCTCCATGACCCCCTCTACATCTAGGAAGTAAAAGCCTCATTTGAGAATCAGAGGTAAGTAATCTTTCTGCATATCCTCATAACACTGTTAGTTACCCTGTTATTACTACGATAAAAATATAGTTATTGAGTGTTGACGATGTCTCAGTACCACTTAAGAATGCTTATTATTTATGTATTGTAAAATAGTAGGTTGTTGGGGAAGTCAGGATGCATTTTTGCATAGAAAAACAGAAAATTCATCATGACTTTTCCAATAAACCAATATATCAAACACACAGGAAATTATAAAAAGTATATAATAATATGGCAACACCTAGCTTTGTCTGAATCTAACATTCTGTAAGTATTTTTAATTTTTTAAAATTTTTTAAGAATTATTTTATTCATTTATCTATTTATTTACTTTAATTTGACCAGAGAGGGGCAGAATGAGAGAGAGAGAGAGAGAAAGTGAGAGAGCAAGCTGTCAGGTCTGGGACCGTGGTCAGCCATGTGGGAGTCCAGTGCCCTTAACCACCACACCACCTGCCAGCCCCACTTTTTATCTCTAAAACAAATAAAACCTTGTAAATAAAATGAAAGAAGGCCCCAGTATGGTTTACCCTGCTCTCATTCCCCACTCTCCACTGATGGTAACCAGTATCCTGAATTGTTTTTTTCACCCCATACATGTTCCTCTATTGATGCTACATATTTGTAGAGCCAGAAAACGATATCTAGCATTGCCTTTGTTTTCAAGCACTATAGTGATAAAGTTCTATCTAGATATGTACATTCATACATGCACACAGACATACACACACACACAGAAGAGAGTGAGAGAGACCCTTTTCATTGCCTTAGTGATAAAGCTACCATAATTGCCATAGAAATGTGTTTATAAATAACACATAAATGCAATATGAAAAACAAACTAAAACCAAAATATTTAAGTTTAACAAAATAGAGGCTAATTATATATGCTGTTGCAATTAAAGTATAATATGCAGAATATTAACATGTAAAACAAGTCACGTCTCTACACATTTTTATAGGAAGAAGACTATGTAATTATATCACATAACTTTACTCAAAACCCTGATATATTTAATGTTATTGATATGAGAAATGGTTCTTCAAAGCCTTTGAACTGGAATACTAGCAAGAATGGAGATTGGCACCTTGAAGCAAACACGAGTACTCTGTATTACTTGGGTATGTACTCATTAGACAGAAGTAATCTTTTTTTTGGAGAGGTTTTCGCTATAGGGCGCATGCGCTCGCCAGACAGACAGAGAGAGATAGAGAGACAGAAAGCGAGAAATCACCCCCCAGGGGGGATGGCCATGCCACAATCCCTTCTCCTCCATTCTCCTCTTGGGATCCTGGGCACGCACGCACACGCGCCTGGCGTGAGTTTTAAGCCACCAGGTCTGGGACGCAAACCACGGTCGACTACTTGGGAGTCCAGCGGCATAGCCATTATGCTAACTGCTGGTCCCGAAGTAATTATTTCATCAAATGCTTTGTCTAAAGGAAGAGATGAATTGCTTAATGTGCAAAATGTGTTTTATAGTACCCTTACATAGCAGAATTCAATAAATGTTTCTTGAATGAAAGGACTGAAGACTAATTTTATGCTGGAGAAGTTCTTGAGATAAGTTAAAAATGTAAGTGTTATTTTAGGAGATAACACCAACATGTTCACGCATGGTCTCAATACTTTTATTTATTTATTTATTTTCGAGAGGTTTTTGCTATAGGGCGTATGCACTCGCCAGAAAGAGAGAGAGCGACAGACAGATAGAAAGTAAGAAATCACCGCCCAGCGGTGTGGCAACACTGCAATCCCTTCTCCTTCACTCTCCTCCCTGGATCTTGGGCATGCATGCACACGCGCCCAGTGTAAGTTTAAGCCACCAGGTCTGGGACTCGAACCACAGTCGGCTACAAGGGAGTTCAGCGACATAGCCATTACACTAACTGCTGGTCACTTTCTCAATACTTTCACTTCACAGAATTTGAAGAAATAAGTACAGTGCAAGCTGGCACATATTATATTTCAATTTTTATAGTTTATATTTTGGAAATAAAAATAGTTAAGAATAAATTTTATTTAAATTCTACAGCGTTAATTTTTTGTTTCACTTTTTAGTTTTGTTATAGGTCTACACACTCACTAGAGAGCAATGGGGGGAGTGAGAAATAACCTCCCAGGGGGATGGCCACACCTCAATCCCTTATTGTCCATTCTCCTCTTGGGATTTTGGGCATGTGTGCACATGTGCCATGTGTTTTTCAAGCTACCAAGTACAGGATTTGAACCAAGCAGTTGACCATGTGCGATCCAGCCACCTTAACCACAGCACCACTGGTTGGCTGTAAAACCATCATTTTTATCAAGCTTTTGTGAATATATGCTCCTTAAGAAACAAGTATTTTGTCAGAATTTCTCTATACCTTTTTCCATACATTTGAATTCTATCAGGTTACTATCTAAAGGTTATTTTCCAAAATGCCATATATATATATATATAAATATAGATAAATTTTAGTACTTTGATCATTGTGTTAATTTAAACCACTTTTACATCATTTCAGTGTCAGGAAGAAGTGACTTTCATCAGAGCCTGCCCATTTCTGCAACCCTGGATCCTGGTGTGAAAGATGTTATTATTAATTTCCAGGCTTACTGCTGTATTCTCCAGGATTGTTTTCCTGTACATCCTCCATCAAGAAAACCAATTCCCAGGAAGCGACCAGCCACATATAAGTATAAAGGCCTTCTGTAGTTCATGCCCCTCAGTATTTCTAGATATGCTCCCTTCATATGTCCCTCCTGGGTGACAAAAGATACTTTCCTCCTGTGCAATGCCTTTTAGGTAACAGTGTTCTTACACCCACTGCTTTATTTGACTCTTACAACAACTCTAATGAGAAAGCCAGAAAAGTACACAAAAACCGTTACAAGGTTATAGGTAACCTTACACTGTAGAACATTAGATCTGGGTTGTTAGTTCTGGCCCAAATACTTTATTATTTGTTGAGAAAGGTGGTGTCCCAAGACCACGGTGAATAAACTACAATCACAGACTTGACTGCTGGTACATCCAGTACAACACCAGAAACTAATTCTTAATTCCATGCTTTCATAGAAGGTAATATCGCTTTCTCTAGAATAACTGTCATTGTCAAATCTCATAATACAATGTATTTATTTTTATTTCAAGTATTTGACCTCATAAATATATTTTAATTCTTCTAATTAAAAGTATCTTTCTATACACAAAAACTTAAGTTAAAAAACCTTTCTATCTTTATAGCACATATAGTTCTTTACTTTTATTTGTCATGTGAACCATCGCTTCCTACTTTGTATCATACTAATTATTACACATAATAGTCCTAGTACACTTTGAGATCTTAAAAGCGTGTCCTCATTGGATGTACATGTACCTCCCTATGGACAAGTAATAATGATTAAAATGATGTTAGTGATGATAAAACTAAAATGTGCATCAAGGACAACTCAATATTTATTAGGCGAATGACATTTCAAAATATAAAGATACTGTAGTGGCTATTGTACAAACAATAATAGTTGCATTTGTTTTTATATTCATTCAATCATGAAAAATATTAACGGAGCATCTGCTCTGTGCCAAGTTTTGGGGACTCATCAAGAAGTAAATTAATGTGATCCTGATCTCCTTGTACTCACATCCTATCTGAAGAGAAAAAGCACAACACAAACAAAATAGGGAAAAAAAAAAGCTAAATAGAAAGTAAAGCATATAAGAGTGAATTGTGATACATGTTACAAAGGGAATGGATATGGGATTGGGACAGAGAACAACAGTGAGGGACAGCTTCGGTTTGGTAGAAAGGAACAACCTCTCAGAGCAGTGGACATTCTAGCTATGACCTCACTGATGAAGAAGAGTTGTCCATCTGAAGAGCAAGAAAGATATGTTCAAGGCCACGGGAATAATTTATGCAGAGCCCTTGACCTAGGAAAGAGCAATGGCATGTCCAAGAACAGAGAAAGCCATGTCTCTAAACCTAACAAGCAGGGGTGTGTGGCCTGGAGATGTTGGAAACAGACCAGTTAGGTCTTGCAGGCAGAGTTAGAAATATGTTGAACCTTTGAGTGATTTTAAATTGAGATATGGCATACTCCAAATTACATTTTTAAAAGACCAGTTTTGGGGGACCTGCTGATGGCACAGCAGTTATGTCGCTGGATTCCCATATAGTCGACCATGGTTGGAATCCCAGATCTGGTGGCTTAAAACACACCAAGCACATGCACATGCATACTCAAAATCCCAAGAGGAGAATGGAGAAGTGATTGTGACATGGTCATCCCCCCTGAGGCATGATATCTCACTTTCTGTCTCTTGTCTCTCTTTCTTGACAGCAAATGCATATGCCCTATAGAAAAAAATCTCTCTTAAAACACACACACACTCACACAGACACACACACCACCTTTTCTTCTCTGTGGAATATGTATTACAGAGGGACAATGGCAAGAGCAGGGAGGCTCATGAAAAGGCTCTAGAGAATTTTGTAAGATATATGGGTCATTAAGGTTATTGGCCAAAGAGCCCTTCCACATACTAAAGTAGATATAATTATTAAATGTTTATAACTACTAAAACAGATTTGGATTTGTCAACCATAATATGGTAGAGGGAAATGATGATGTTGTATGTACCTGTCATACTACAGGGTTGTTCCCCCCATAGTATGAGTTTTCCTTACTATATATAGCTAGATTACATCTATTAGTTTGTATTATTTCCTATCATCAAAAACAAACAGAATCTTGATCCAGAATTTGTGCTTGAGGATTAGAATATATAGTTCTAATTATATAACACAAATGCTTAGTTTAAGAGAGATTTGTCATTATTAATCATAACAGTGGGAAATAAGAATGTATAACATGCACAGTGATAGTAGGGATAAGAATGATGAAGTGAGTTTTTTTCTGTTTGTTGAAATTCCCCCCTCCCCCCACTGTAGGATGTGTGTGCTTGCCAAAGAGAAACAGAGAGAGGGAAAGTGAGAAATCACATCCTTAGAGGATGGCCACATGACAATCCCTCCCTTCTCCTTCATTCTGCTCTTGGGATGGGGGCATGCACACACATGTGCTCAGCTTACTTTCAAGCCACTGGTTCTGAGACTCAAACAGCAGAGTTGACCATCGGAGAACCAGTGCCTGAACCCACTTGCCACCTGCTGGCCTCTAGAATGACGAGATTTTAATTTTGAGAAAAGCTGGGTAAAATCGATTGTTGCAAAGCTGATTGAATTGTTTAGTTAGGTGGATATAACTCTTTAAAACAACCTTCACTGAAATTGTTTTGGGAAAAATAATACATTGTTGAGTCTAAATAAATAACTCTTTGACAGTCAGTCTCTTCTTAAAATCCATTAAAACAGTGTTTTTGTTATGATTTTGATTAATGGGCCTTTAGTAATACAACTAAGTAATAGGCATATGTAATAAAAAATATACATTTTAGCCAAACAAACTCTATGTAGAACCTTTTGTAGAATTTCAGAATTAGTGTCAGAATTTTAAATTTTTTTACAAAGTCAAAGCATGATTGTGAGTATTTTTCCAATTGGAAAATATCAACAACTTTATAATAATAATATCTTCGTAGCAATTTGCATCAAGAGGTAGTTTCCAAAAGGCATAGTGATGAAAAGTGAGGAGTTAGGCCCTTTGGTGTATTTTCTCTATTTACTTCAGTTTAACATAACCTCATTAATTCATTTCTGCCAATTCAGGGCCCAGACTTCCTGGCCCTCCCTTCACAGAATGTAACCAATTTTTCCATTGCCTTTCCCCAAGAAATAGTACTCTGTTTCAAAGGTTTGTTTGTTTAAAATTTATTCATTCATTTATTTTACTTTGACCAGGGAGACACACACACACACACACACACAGAAAGAGAGAAAGAAGGAAAGTGTGAAAGCAAGCCACCTGGTCCAGGACCTGAACCATGGTCAGCCATGTGGGAGTGTCCAGCACCTTAACCACCACGCCACCTGCTGGCCCCCTCAAATGTTTTTAAATAGATGTAACATGCGTTCTCTTTTTACTTCTCCACAGTGTTAAATCCTATGAGAAATTTGAATAATTCATGACTTTGACAAAATCAGGTATATAACAATAAGGAGATTTAGCTGGGAAAAAAGTGTGAGTGATAAAGAAATTTTCTTCAAAGGACAAATTACTACATATGTAGTTTGTGTTGAATATTTTACTGACTGCACATATTAGCTTGTGTATTTAATGCAATGATGCACTAATCTAATTTGCATTCTGTCATCTCCAAAACATCTAGTATAGTGCTATGCCCTAAGGAGATGGTCATTGAATATATAGAGCCAGTTGATGGAAATATTTCTCTTCTCTTCTCAGTCTGTGGTCAAATGATTCTTTTTGGCAATCATCTCATGAAAATAATTATTCTGTACCTTACCCGGGAGCAAATGTGGTTATTCCTGAAGGTAAATACATAAATACAATGCCTGTTTTTGTGTAGCATTAACACTATGACCAGATTGACATTATAGTAGTTGGGGTTTCTGCCTTCATCCAGCGCAGCTCAGGGACAGTAAATGTGGTGAGAAGAACCCTGCCATTATGTTCGGCACTCTGTACCTCACCTTCTGGGTTTTCTGTGGTTTTCTATCTGACTGTTAAGAACGACAGATGTGATGAAGATGTATATAGTAATGACTTTGTCTTGACTGATATGCATAGTAATCATGCTGGAAAAAGAAATGTTATATACTGTAAAGATATATGTGATTAAATGTAATATAAAACAGTAATAAAAATTTTAATTAAAAAAGGGGGAAAATGACAGATTTTTCTGAAAGAGAAAGGAATCCTTCATTGGATGGAAATATGGGTCCTCAACTTCACTGATAAGCTTGTCAATGTTTTGTCGTAAGCTATAGTCTGTGGATTATTTCTTAAAGTATTGTTTCATAGGAACATGGATTGTAGCTGACACAGATATGCCACCAATGGAAAGGCTTATTATTTGGGGAGTTCTAGAACTGGAAGATAAATATAATATGGGATCTGTAGAATCTTCTTACAGAAAAGTGATTTTGAATGCTACCTACATATCACTGCAGGTAAGAGTGAAGATCTTGTCATTTATGTCCTATTAACCAAATACTAAAATGTTTTTCTACTAAAATAATAAGAAAGTGTGTTCAATGGATGTGAATAAAAAAAAATCATTATCTGGGATCTAGCCGGTGTCAGAGTGGAAACACAACATGGCAACACTGGCCCCGAATGGGAAGGAGCCAGCAGGGTTCATGTCCTGAAGTTTCTCTGGACATGCTGGGTTCACGGATTTGCACCTGCCCATAAACTGGGCTGGCTAGGGGTGGAGGGAGAGCATGGCATGAAGACCTGCTGAGGTGCCCCTCTTTCTCTTTCTCCCCCTCTCTCTTATGGAAGAAACAAACAACTAATAAATAAACTTTTATACGCACACACAACTGGGTTCTAGCCCATGAAATGCCACCTTATGTAAAGTCAATATATAATATTTCATCTCTCCTTTAAATTGTGGATGAAACATTCCTCAAGGAGTAATTATCATGGTACTCTTCAGTATAAAGTTTGCCCAGCTTTAATTCTACATAGAATATTTGTATTATTATTTGGTTAAGCTAAACTAATAGCTTCTCCAACAAACAAACAAACAAATTAAAAGAATGTAAGTCCCCTGCACAGCCTCCATTTTAAAAGAAAACAAAATGTATTTCTTAAAACAAATAGTCATAGATGGAAATATGAAAGTAAGAGGAGACCAATGAAAATGTTTCAGTTGTTTGAGCAATCACTTCATTCTTTTATAGACCTCACATGGTCTTGAATGTGTAACAGCTTAATCAGTTTAACAGTTTGGTCAGTCTTTTATTATTATTGGTGAAAAAGAGTGGCCTAACCAAAAAGTTATTAAGTACTTTTAAAAAAGTGTTTAGTAGCTTTTCTTTGAGAAAAGGGAAAAGTCCATAAACTTAGTCAGTCTTTAATGCTTTAAAAGTGCGTAAAATTGGGCCAGCTGGTGGCAGGGTGGTTGAGATGACTTGATGCCACATGACTGACTATGTGGTTCAAGTCCAGATCTGATGCTTTGAAAAATGCCATGGTGCCCAAAATCTCAAGTGGAGAATGAAGACAGGATTGGGGAGTGGCTGTCTCTCTTGAGGGTTGTGGTCCCCCTTTTCCTTTTGCTAGTGAACGCTCATGCCCTTTAGCATGCATGCATGCATGCATAAATAAATAGTTCACAGGAACCACCAGGAGGGGTGGTGGTTAAGGTGACTGGATCCTACATGACTAATGGTGTAGGTCAAATCTCAGACACATCAGCTAGAAAAACACTCCAGGTGCATGTGAGTGTGTGCCCAAATCTCAAGAAGAGAATGGAATAGAAAGTATTAAGGTGAGGTTATCCTCCCTGGGGTGATTTCTCACTTTTGTTTTCTTTGTATCAAGAGAGAGAGAGAGAGAGAGAAAGAGTACATGCTCTATAGCAAAACTATAACAAAAAAGTACATCATATTTTGGTCTAATGTACAAGCTTTGAGGTAAATTAAAGCTATAATTGAATCATTGCCTTGAATTGAATTAAATCACTATACCTTGGGTAATTTTGGGTAACTTATTTGACCTCTTTCAGTATCACTTTTCTCACTTATGAAATAAAAATAATACCTATTCATGCATTTGGTGTAGAGGTTAAATGATATAAATGAAGCCTTGCACATTATACCTGACACAGCATTTAATGATGGCTATTACTGTACTTCCCCTTTATCTGAAGTTTCACTTTCTGTATTTTTAGTTTCCCATGGTCAACCACAGTCTGAAATTAGTTGAGTATAGTACAATCAATCAGGTATTTTGAGAAAGATGTGTTGTACTATTATATATTGTTACAATTGTTCTGCTTTATTATTCCTTTTGTTAATCTTGTATTGTTCTTGATTTATAAATTAAACTTTATCTTGGTTATGTATGTAAAGCAAAAATACAGTACTCATAAGGTTGTACACATCCGCAGTTTCAGGTTCACTAGGAGTTTTGGAACATATTTCATGCAGTTAATGGGACACTACTGTGTTAAAACAATGATGGTTCATAAATGACATTATTTCAATATAATTGAGAATAGTACATATTTTTTTGGAGTGATTTTTGCTATAGGGCATGAGTGCTCGCCAGAAAGACAGAGAGAGACAGAGACAGAAAGCGAGAAATCATAGCCCCAGGGTGGGGTGGGGGAGCATGCCGCAATCCCTTCTCCTCCATTCTCCCCTCGGGATCTTGGGCACGCACGCACACACACCTGGCGTGAGTTTAAGCCAACGGGTCTGAGACTTGAACTGCAGTGAACTACATGGGAGTCTAGCAACATAGCCATTATGCCAACTGCTAGTTCCAAGAACAGTACTTTTTTTTTTTTGGAGAGGTTTTTGCTATAGGGCGCGTACGCTTGCCAGACAGACAGACAGAGACAGAGAGATAGCGAGAAATCACCCCCCAGGGGGGATGGTCACACTGCAATCCCTTCTCCATTCTCCTCTTGGGATCTTGGGCACGCACGCACACGTGCCCAGCGTGAGTTTTAAGCCACCAGGTCCGGGAGGTGAACCACAGTCAACTAGTGGGAGTCCAGTGACATAGCCATTATGCTAACTGCTGGTCCCAAGAACAGTACATTTTTTGATAAGACATATTAATTCAAATTGGTGTGGTCAGGTTCAGCCACTGTGCAATACTGGAGACAGGAGAGGTTTGGATCCCAGGTCAGGTTGAATAAGCTGGGCACACCTGTGATCCTGGTGGCTAGAAGGCTGAGGGGGAGGGATGGCAGTATGTTGAGAGCCTGTCAAAGGTGACTTTCTCTCTCTTAAGAGGAAGGAAGAACGGGAAAAAGGGAGGGAGTGAGGGGAAAAGGACTAACTTAAAAAAAATATGGTATGTACTATTCAAACATCGCTAGTTTAAGTCCTAGAGGAACTCAGTTTTAGGTCCAGGTACTGGTAGTAAATAGCAATAAATGTTGAATTTGGGGCCAGCTTGTGGTGTAGTAGTTAGGTGCTGTGCACAGGAAGTCAGGTATGGCCAATCAGGTTCCAATCCTGGCCCTGTTGACTTTCCCCTAGGCCTGCAAGCACCCAGCATCCTGACAGAATGGAGCACTGGAGGAAAAATGATTGCGGCCCCTTACGGGATGCTTGCTCACTCTCTCTGTCTGTCTTGCATGTGCATACTTACATGTACACTTGTCCTCTGGCATAAAAAATAAACAAAAACTGATCTTAGACAGATCATTTATACTGCCTATCCCAAAGTGAGTAGATGAAATTAAAGTCACATCCAATTACAGTACTGTTCTTTGTCTAACAATATTCAGTTTTATTAGAGGAAGCTGCCAGTGACTTCTTGATTCCTTTTTTATGGTGAAAAATTTTTTTTGCTCAATGTTTAAGTATTAACATTTTTTTTTTTTTTTGCATCACTGCAGGGAGGTAGATTAATCGGTGGATGGGAAGATAACCCTTTTAAAGGAGAATTACAAATTGTTCTTAGAGGAAATCATTCTACCCCAGACTGGGCTCTTCCAGAAGGACCAAATCAAGGGGCAAAGGTCTTAGGTATGTATCTCCAGATACCAAAGTGCCATATCAGTTTTGAGAGTCTCATTAAAAATATCTAACACTTTGTACTTTCCATGATGGTATGGTATCCAAAGGCTTCACAGACATTTATGTACAATAAAGAGTTATAAAAGTAGATTAAGTTTCTAAAAATTAAATATTTATGTCACATTTTAACAGGTAGAAATAGAAATAGATATAGATATTTTAACTATATATTATATATATATATAAATTCTCAAGTCTGGTTTTTCTTCATAATCTTTCTTTTATATAAGCAAATACTTTTCATAGTTTAGTGCTTTTCCCCTAAAAGGTAACTTTCCTACACCTTATTCTGTCTACGGTATTAATAACCAGTCTGGAGACCCCACAGTGGCACAGTGCCTGTTATCAGTGACCAAATCACAACAGTAGTGAGCTCCAATTTCCCAGTCACATTGATCTATTGTGTTTGTTGTTGTTTGAGCCTGGAAAGCAAAGGACCTGAAAGAGTTTAATTTAGTCACAATCAATAACTGATTTTGTTAATACTATTCCATATTTATTCAGAAAACACATATAGGCATGTGCTGTAGTTCCTGCACTGTACAAGTTTTGAAGCCAACACCCTGTACATGAGGGGAAATTGCCTGGAGATTGGAATAGTCATCTTTTCACTGACAAATACCCTGAGGCAGATACAGTTCATCTTAAAAACTAAATATTTATTTTTATGCATACCATTTTTTATTTAAAAAGTAACACTTTGGGCCGGCCTATGGCCTGGTGGTTAAGGAGCTAAATTTCACATGACCAACTGTGTAGTTCGAGTCCCAGACCCAGCTGCTTGAAAAACATGCTGGTCACACATGTTTGTGAGTCTAAAATTCCAAAAGGAAGAGGATGAGGAGAAGGGATTGTGTTATGACCATTTCCCGTGGTGGGGGAGGGGTGCTTTCTCATTTTCTCCTTCTCTGATAAGCACATGTGCCCTCTGGCAAAATAATGTTGTAAACAGCACAAAACAATATCAAGAAAAAAAAATAAGACAAACTATATCCTTCTAATTCTATCCCACTTGAGAAAATTAGCATTCATTAACAATTTTTACATGTTTTCCCATTTTATATCGATGTCCAGGTTTGTAGTATGGATTCATTTGTAGTGGTAGTATTGCTCTTTTTATAAAAACATGGCCAAACTAAATGCCTTATTATGTGATTTTCTTTTCTCAGCTGATATGTTGTGGACATCTTTCTACTAGGTGGCCAAGAGTTATGATGCATTTTTCTTTGCAAAAAAAATGTGCCATGACTTCCCAGACTACATAATTGATCAATACTCATAGATAAATTTTCCTTCTTTATAGCATATTACTCCCCCGTATTAATTTACTAAATTTAGTCTATCATTTCCCTATAATGTACATTTAATTCCCGTTTCTTATTATTTCCAAATAATGCGATGGTAAGCATCTCCTTTCATGTATCCTTGTGTAGTGGCTTTCGTAGTCATGGACCAGATTTCGGGAGATGAGTTAAAGGCACAAAGGCTTCTCACACAGTCTTGAGCAGATACTATCATGTCATGCCATTCATTCTAAGAAATTCCATCAGTTAATACATACCAGTGAACAGGTTCTTTTTATACTAGCACCTAACTCAGTGCTCTGTGCTGAATAGAGTGTGTCTTTCTCCTTCAGGTGTGTTTGGTGAGCTGGATCTTCATGGAATTCCACGTTCAATATATAAAACGAAACTGTCTGAAACTGCAGCGGCAGGTTCCAAAGTTCTGTCTCTGCTGGATGCCGTGGACTGGCAGGTGAGGAAAATATTGAGTAATAGTAAGTAAATGTATACAGTGGGTCCAGTTAAAAATGCTTTTTCTCTAGCCTCATGGGCGTTCATCTTCTCATGTGATGAACTAGATTAGAAGTGTCTTATTTCATTGTTAGCTTGCAAAAGCTGACCTGGTAGCAGGCAGTTAGAGATTGCGGTATCCAATGTCCTTCTGAACACTTAAAGAACATTGTGTGTACTTTTGTCATGAAATTAAAATGTGAACATTTTTGGTTAAAAAATACTTACCACAACTTCTTGTGAAACAAAAAACAGAATTATTTTAAATTTATTTTATTGTTATTTGGTTACCTCTTTACTTCTAATCTGTAATTTTACATGGTCAAGCATTTGCAAAGAAAACAAAGGCCCAGTGCTATTGAAATAATTCCTGTATTAAGTGAGAGACTTTGGTAAAATATAAATAGTTGCAACTCCCATCTCTACTGTACTCATATATGTGCACAGAGCACAGGTCCACATTTTTTACAAATACTCTTTTTGTTTGCTTGCTTTTTTTTTTTTTTTTTTAAGTTTTTGCAATAGGGTGTGTTTATTTCCAAACTGGAAATTCCAAGATAGACTCCATTTCCAAGCTCCAATCTTGTGACAGAGAGAGGGAAAGTAAGAAATCGTTCCCCCTGGGGAAATGACCCTTCTCCTCCATTCTCTTCTCTGGATTTTGGGCACACATGCACATAGGCCTGGTGTGATTTTCAAGTTGCAGGTCTGGAACTTGAACTGTGATTGGCTATGTGTGAGTCCAGTGCCCTAACCGCCACACCAACTGTTGTCCTACAAATACTCTTTTTTATAACAAGGATCAGAGAAATGCAAGGATTCCATTTCCAAGCTCTCAGATCTCAGCCAAATCCCTTTTAATCAAAAAGAGCTTCAGAATCACAGAACAAAGCCAGCCTTATTTTAAGCAAATCAATATGAATCTTCAAAACATAAAGGTTTGCTCTCTTAATGTAGTTTAAAATTGGCAAATATAAAAAGACCTTATTAGAAGGTAGTATGATCTACCTAAAATATATTCTTATTTTTGATAGTTCAGGTGTGCTTACTTTTTTTTTTTTGAGTGGTTTTTGCTATAGGCGCATGCGCTTGCCTGAAAGACAGACAGACAGACAGACAGAAAGCAAGAAATCACCCCCCCGTGGGGATGGCCATGCCACAATCCCTTCTCCTCCATTCTCCTCTCAGTATCTTGGGCACGCACGCACAAGCGTCCGGCGTGAGTTTTAAGCCACTGGGTCTGAAACTCGAACCGCAGTCAACCGCATGGGAGTCTAGCAACGTAGCCATTATGCCATCTGCTGGCCCCAAAATGTGGTTACTTTTTGATGAAAGAGTAACTAAATGATTTCAATATCATTATTATGTATTCAATTAGTATTTTTATAACCTATCACTACTATTTTCTGCTTTTTATTTATCTATAACATTTAACTAATTATCACACACTTTTCTGGGCATTGGTGATTCTGTGATAAAGAAATTGGTCTGCGCTATCATGGAATTTGCATTGGGGTAAGAGCGGCAGACACTAGTGAACAAATAAGTGTATGTTCATTTCAGATTATACCGTGTGTGATGAATATAAAACAAGCCATGTAATAGACTGGCATGGTAAAGGGTGTTAGGTAACATGAAATAAGGTAACTAGAGAAGGCAGTTCTCAAGTACTCATTTGAGCAGAGATCTAGATAAAAAGGATCTTTTTTTTTTTTTTGAGAGGTTTTTGCTATAAGGCACATGCGCTCACGATAAAGACAGAGAGAGACAGAGAGACAGAAAGCGAGAAATCATGCGGTCAACTACATGGGAGTCCAGCGACATAGCCATTATGCTAACTGCTGGTCCCGATAAAAAGGATCTTAATATACAAAGATTGTAGGACATGGCTTTGCCCTTTAACTTTCCTCAGCCTTTCCTACCTTTCATGAGTATCAAGTGATTCTTAATTGTATTTTAAAAAGGCAAATTTGTTAAAGTCTTAATACAGTTCTGGCTACTATTTTTTTTTCTTTCAGGGAAGAATTCTCATTTTTTTGTATCTGCGGAACTAGTATCAAATTCTGGCAGTTCTTTGCTTCAGTCTGTTTTATTTTACATTTGGGCATCCTCATACTGTTTAAAACCTGTATGCCTTCCAAAAGGTCAATGTACTTTTTTTTCTTTCTTTTTTTTTTTTTTTTGAGAGGTTTTTCACTATAGGGCGTGTGCACTCGCCAGACAGACAGAGAGAGACAGAGAGACAGAAAGTGAGAAATCACCCCCCAGAGGGGATGGCCACGCCGCAATCCCGTCTCCTCCACTCTCCTCTTGGGATCTTGGGCACGCACGCACATGTGCCCGGCGTGGGTTTTAAGCCACCGGGTCCGGGACGCGAACCGCGGTCGACTACGTGGGAGTCCAGCGACATAGCCATTACGCTAACTGCTGGTTCCCAACTTTTTTTTTTTCTTTTAAATGTACCTACTTTACATTCATTCACTTTACATCATCACTGCATACAAAATGCTACGTCCCATCCAGAATACACTGTGTATTGGCTCAGTCAAGGATATTACCATACGTGTGATTGTCAACAAGTAATTTTCCATTTCTTGTTTCTTATATATTTTTGCTCTTTTATTGTTTCTTTTCTTTTCCACTGATTCCCTACCTCTCACCCTCTGCAATTTCCCACCCCTCCCACACTGTCTCTGGTATCTACAGTTGCTTTCCATGCCTTTCCTTCCCCCTTCCAACATTTTACTGATTGACAAGATATCTTAATTAATTCAAATACTTTCAATAGGAAGTTCAGCTGATATATACATATCTGTGAACACATCTGACTTTAGGCAGAAAACGTTATAGTATGTTTGTTCTGACCACTTTTTAATAAAAATAAAAATATATTTGCTTTGATATATTTAATTTTTCAAATATATATTGCTGTATTTTATTAAATGGCTGAATTAAAGCTAAAAATGGCTAGCAAAATTCAATATTTAGAATTTAAATATCAAACATAAACATGATTCTTGTTGGAGATTTAGATATACAGTTTATTCTATCAGATAATAGTCATGACTGTTCATCAGATATGAATTAAATTAGGATTACTTATTATTATTTAGAAATACAAATATGTTCATAAAAACACATTTTAAAAAATATTCTTGAATTTGCACTTGAATTTTTCTAAGGAGGGAGAAGAGATTGTGATAACAACTACAAGCTATGATTTACACCAGACAGAAATTAGAAGTATCGTCAAAATCCTGCATGGTAACAGAATTATAATTCTTAATGAAAGCCTTTCCTACACTCACTTTGGTAAGTGGCTGCTTTTGAACCAAAAAGATATATAATTAAAGTGCTTTTTACATTTTAGTGCTCTACTCTGCAATTATAGTTATGTGATAAAACATTTCATGGATGTTTTAGAGGAGCATTTCACTCAAATTGGCACTGGTGCCCAGAGGGTGCTTCTATTTATGTGTGGGTGGCCTCCAGTCGTCCTTGCTGTATGCATTTATTCATTCAGCAAGAATTCAGCCAAAACCTACTGTATCACAGTTTATGGGGTAGGACTTGGCACCTTCTGTTCTAAGCAGGCCTCCTAGTGATTCTCAAACACATTGAAATTTAAGAGCACTTGATCCAAAAGCATGGACACTCATCCATGAGCATAAGCCATAGAATTCACATTTTTCATAGTCTTTTTAGTGACAAAGGATTAGAGAAACAAATAAATTCCTTTTCCAAGATCCAAGCTAGAACTGCATTTAGGCAAGTTATAGTGAAATGGACAAACTGATTCTCAAGGAGAGAAGGAGTAAGTCAGCATCCTCTGAAGGTGACGTTCCCACTTAACAGGAGAAAGGCCTTCCCTGCACCCCAGCTTTTTCCCATTTGACATGCTACCTTCTTTCGAACCTCAGCAAGTGGGAGCAGATAGGAGTGGAGAGTTAGAAAACCCTTTCATGTATCTCTTTCTTTTCTTTATGGTTTTTGTCATTGGGCTTGTGAGCTCACTGGAAAGGAGAGAAATGGAGACTGAGTGAAAAGGAAAGTGAGCTCACCCCCTGCAGGGATGACCATGCTGCAATCGCTTCTCCTCCCTTCTCCTCTCTGGATTTGGGGCACAGGAGCTCACAAACCTGGGGTGATTTTTCAAGCCATCAGGTCCCAGACTCAAACTGTGGTCGACCATGTGGGAGTCCAGCACCTTAACCACTATGCTGCCTGCTGGCCCCTCCTTTCACATATTTCTTATGCTCATGAGAATTCCAGCAGG